ATCTCCCCACATCTCCCCACATCTCCCCACATCTCCCCATGACTCAGGCGGTGGTCGGCACGCACACGCCCGGCGCCCAGGGCACGCCCGAGCGGAGGCTCTGGTGCGAGGCTGTCTGCCCGGGCTGCTCGCGCACGCTGCGCATCCTCGTCGTCCCTGGGCTGGACGTCGTGCAGTGCTGCTACTGCGCGCACTGGTCCTTCACCGCCCCGCCCGACATCGACGCGTTGGGAGACGGCAGCCGCAACCTCGCGCCCCGCCAGGCAGGCGGCGCCACGCCGGGGTGGGGCGGTGCACACCACCCCGGTCCCGGTCTCTTTGGCGCGATGATGGAGGGGGCGGACGGGGCGGAGGCGGTGGGCATAGCGTCAAGCGGGCCGTTGCCGCCCTCGGCTCCGCCCTCGCCGCCGCACGAGGGCGATGCGGACGGCGGCGGCGGCGGCGCGCCGGAGGGCGAGGAGGAGGCCGACGGGCTGTACATTTGCCGGTGGTGCGAGTCGGGGTACCGGGGCGTGTACCGGACAGACCCCGCCCCGCCGGCGGGTGCGCGCCGGGGGCGTTGGTGCTCTGTCGTGCACGCCCGGGGCACGGCCCTCACCTGTCCGAGGCTCTGTCCGTAGGCGCGTGGGAGGGCGTGCTCGCGTCGTACAGCGAGCGCGAGGGCGGGCACCAGCAGCGCTCGCTCGGCCACTTTCCGACGCCGCGGGAGGCGGCCGAGGCGTTCGCCGCAGCAGCGCGCAGCCAGGCGGCGCAGCCGGGGCGGAACGGGGTAGTGCTGCGGCAGGACGCCCTCGAGCCAATCCTCGAGGAGGCGAGGCAGGGCGGCGGGCTCGACATCCTCCGGGTGCTGCGTGTGTCGGTGCGCGAGGACCTCGAGGACGGCCACCGCGAGCGCCTCGCGACGTTCGTGTCGCAACGCTCCGAGTCGGGCTTCAAGGGCGTGCACAAGTCTGGGGGCGGCCGCTGGCAGACACAGGCTTGCCGCGACCCAGCCGAGATGCAGCCGAGACCCAGCCGAGGTGCAGCCGAGATGTCACCGCTGGCTGACTCAGACACCGCCTCTCGTGAGCGCCGTTTGCCCACCACGGAGCTGCCCCCCCTTACCACTCGCCGCCCGCCGCGCGCCAAGGTCTACTTTGAGGGCAACCTGTACCACGCCGGCCACGCGGAGACGCCCGAGGCATGCGCGCGCATCTTCTCGGTCTGCATGAAGCTGGTCGACAAGATGAAGGAGGACGGCTCCCTGGCGCAGGCGAGCAGTCGCTCTGCCAGTCGCACTCAGCAGCCTGCTCGTTGACCTACTGAGAGTGAGCACTGAGTAGTGAGTAGTGAGCAGTCCGCTCGTCTGCAGGGCTCCTCGGTCAAGCGCTCGCGCCGCGGCTCGCTGCCGGAGCAGCGCCAGCCGACGCCGCTCCTCGTGCGGCCGCGCGGCGAGGCGGCCGCCTAAGCCCCCCACCCCCCCCCCTCTCAGACACCGGCCCACTCCCAGCCCCATCCTGGTTCACAGGGGGGTACGCAGAAAGTGCCTCCCCCCCCCCCCCCCCTTCTCCCCCTTCTCCCCTCCCCTCCCCTCTCCCACAGGTCCCCTCCCCTCTCCCACAGGTCCCCCCCCCCGCCCCTCTCAGGTGGTCGCTGAGGAGCTCGCCGCCGCCGCCGGAGACAACGAGCAGCTCCACCTCAACCCGCGCGCCGACTCAAAGTGCCAGGGCGTCTACTTCAACGCGCACATCAACATGTGGGGCGTGCTCGCGCCCGGCAACGCGGCGCTCGGCTACTACTCCGAGCCTCGCGACGCGGCCCTCGCCTTCTCGCGGTGCCGCGCCACTTCCGAGAACCGTCCGAGACACCTCCCTCCCCCGCCTCCCCCCTGCCCGCGCCGCCGCCGCTCTCGGCACCTCCACCGTTAGCGCCGCTGACACGTCCACCATTAGTGCCCTCCGCCGAACCTCTCCCGCAGGTACATCGTCTCGGAGGCGTCGCGCCTTGGCCGCGCGTACCAGCGCGTGCCGTGGCCACGCCGCGGGGTCGACCAGCGCCGCTTCTGCCGCATCGCGCTCTCCTCGTGCTCGCGCGGCGGCAGGGGCGGCGGCGCGGCGGAGGCGGCGGGGGAGGCGGACGTCGCTGCGGCCATCCAGGTGGCCGAAGGCCTCAGCTCGCTGCTGCTGCAGGTCGAGAGGTTGCTTGCTCCGGCCGCCGCCTCCGCGCCCGCCGACGAAGGCCCCTCGCGCAAGCGCCCGCTCGCCGGCGACGACGACGAGGCCGCGCACGCCGGCGGCTCGGCTGCAGCGGGCAGCTCCTCCGCCGCGGCCTCGGGCAGCAAGCGCGCAAAGGCGGAGGACCCCGCCGGCGAGCCACAGCCCGCAGGCGAGGCCACGTCGCTGGCGGGCGCGGCGGGCGGCGCGGCGGGTGGCGCGGCGGGCGGGGTGGCGGCGGCGGGTAGCGCTCCCCACACGGCGGAGCTCCCGGCGCCCGTCCCGGCTCCGACGCCCCAGTCCGTCCTCGGAGGGCTGCTGCCTCCCGGAGCCACTCACGGCCCGCTGGTGGGCAGCAGCGACGCCAGCGTGCTCGATCGCGTCGAGACGGCGCCGCTCGTCGCCGTCGGCGCCGCCGACTCGCCGCCCTCCTCCCCGCACACGAGGCTGGCCCCGAGGCTGAGCGAGGTTGAGCGAGGCGTAGGCGCTGTCGTCGAGGTGATGCCCGTCGAGGAGTCGTTCCGAGGGTCCCGGTACGAGGCGGTCGTGCTCGAGACGGACGGCGGGCGCACAAAGATCCGCTTCACGTCCTTCACCGAGGAGGAGGCGGAGTGGGTGCCGACCAACAGCTTGCGGCCGCCGCCGCCCACCCCGCCCGGCGGCGAGGGGCGCAACCCGAACGCGTGGGCAGCCCAGCACTGGTCGAGTCGTGCGGGGAGGGGAGAGCTGTGGGTGGAGAGAGAGAGAGCTGCGAGTAGGCGGCCAAGCTGCGGGTCGGCTCACTCGTCGAGATGTACGCGGACGGCGGCTGGTGGGACGTGCTTGTCGGCGAGATGTCGACGGCGCGCCTCACTCGCGAGGTGCGGCGTGCGCGTGTGCCGCCCCTGCCCAGCGTGCGCCGTCGCTGAGTCTCGCAAGCCGTCTCCTTCAGGTGTCGTACTTGTGCCGCTCCCCAAACTCTGGCGACGAGCACGAGGTGACCGCCTCGTACTTGAGGCCGCGGTGGGAGTGGCGCCGTCGCCGGCTCGCGAGTGTCGCTTCTCCGTGAGCCTTCTCTCGGGATGAGACGCCGGAGCCCTGCCAACAGGCGCCCCGCCTACTCGCAGTGGGCGACGCTGCACGACGGCGGCCGTCGCACACCTGCCCACGAGGTGTGCCGAGCTCGCCCGCGGGCCTGACCGAGCATTCCCCCTCGAGTCTTCAGGCGCCGTCTACTCGCTGCTCATGACCGTGCAGCCGCCGCCCGTCGCTGACGTGGCCTACATCAGCGTGACCGTCGTCGCGCCGCGGGCGATGCAGAAGGGCGAGACGCTGCGCTGCGCGCTGCCCAACGGCTCCTTCTTCCAGCTCCCCATCTCGGGCAACATCGCCGCCGGCACGCCGCTCAGCTGCAAGGTTCCGCAAAAGGCCCCGCCGCCGCAGCCAGTGCGGTTCCTCATCGTCCCGCCGGGCATGGGCTACGGCGCCAAGGTGACCGCCCTCTCGCCGAACGGGCACGTCGCTCACGTCGGCGTGCCGCCGGCGCCTCCGCCCCCGGGGTCGCGGATGGCGGTGCCGGTCCCGCAGGAGCAGGCGGCACGCTTCGAGGGCCCGACGGCGTACGAGCGGCTGCAGCAGCAGCGGCGCTCGGCCGGCCAGCTCATCTCGCGCAAGGCGCGCAACCACGAGTACGGGGTCTCCTTCCGCCAGATCGAGCAGTACATCCTCGCGCGCTTCGGCGTCTGCGCCACCAGCCGGCTGATGGGCGCTCTCTCCGCGGCCGTGCGCGCGGGGCGGCTCGTGCGGACGGCTCAGAGCAAGCTCTTCGTGCCGACCGGGTCGATGCTGAGCGTGCAGGCCGCGCTCGAGATGGAGAAGCTGAGCGAGGAGCAGCGCGTGTCGGCCGTCGCCGAGGAGCGGCGCAACCGCAAGCTGGCCAAGCAGGCGATGCTCACGGGGCGAGCGCGCCGCAGGCAGGAGCTCGAGAAGCAGCGCCACCGGCACAACGCTCGGGTGCGCGCCGCTGGCGTGCTCGGCGAGCAGCGGCGGAACGCCTTCCTCCTGACGCAGATGCAGCTGCTGGAGCCGTTCATGAAGGGCGCGCGGAGCAGCCTGCAGGCCGCGCTCGGCAT